GAATGTCTCTGTACATTTTTCCATTCATCCTTCCTTCGATTATTTGAAGTTTGCCAGTACCATATGCTGAAAAACAGCATTTGGGTCTGAACCAGCTGATATTAACTTGCACTGACAAGGGGCAGGCTTGCTTTCTAATTACTGAGAGAGTTCAGCTGGTGTCTTGGCTTTCCATGCCTTTTTACACCTCCCTTTCTTCATGTGTTCAATAGTTTTTCCCCACATTATTACAAATAACTTMATTTCTGGACATTTATGGTTTGATTTCTTTGTATGTATGGATCACTTGGGTTGTTACCGACATCTGTTGAAAATTTCATGTCATTAGCACCTCTAGTAATATATTTACCGTAAAAAATGGTGACGTGTTCAATACTTATTTTACCCGCTGTATATACTCTCACTCACTCTATTTTTATGTCATGTCTTGGCAGCTGTGGTGCAGTGGTAAGACAGTCTTCTTGGGACCATAAAGTCACAGGTTTGATTCCCTGCCATTACCACATGTCATGATGACTTTGAGCAAGACATCTAATCGCTAACTGCTCTCTGGGTGCTTGCACAGCTGCCCACTGCTCTGCTTGAGTGTATCCTACGTGTGATGGGTCAAATGCAGAGCGCAAATTTCATCATTGCATGGGAACATGCATTGATGACATTACATAGCCCATTTGTCACGATTCACACTCTGTCCTCCTTTCAGTTTTTCTCCACGTCACTCCCATTAGGTAATTATGATAATTTCACTCACCTGTGGTTGCTTGTATTTAAGCCCAAGCTCTGCTCATGTCCAACGCCAGATTATCGAACAGTTCTCTTAGTAGATTCTCCAGCGTACCTCCATGCCTTGTTTTGCCTTTGATCATTCGACCTCGTTTCTGGACTCTGGATCTTCGCCTCTCGCCTAGCCACTCTCTGGTACCTCCACCGCCTCTGACCCACGGCTTCAAACTCATGCTCTGGACTCTGGACCTTCGCCTCTCGCCTCATCCCTCTCTGGAAACTCCTCCGTCTCCGAGCCACGGCTTTCGTTCCTCATCCACTTTCCTGGACTTAAAGGTTGGTCCACTTTTTGGCTTTGTTTACTTGTCATTGCCTATTCTTGCTTTTTTATTGTTTCTCTGGATGACAAACGAACTAATTTACTTGTCCTCCCAGTTTACTGTGGTGACATCATCTCCACTGGATGTCGTAGGGTTGATGACATCACTCCTTTGGTCCCCTCCAGATAATCCCAGTCTATTAAACAGTTAAACCTTTCTCGTGGTCTGGTTGTTGTTTTGAACTCACTGGTTTTCATAACAGATAATCTGGCCAATATGAGTTCATCACCGACACGAGAATGGTAGACTGGTGTTGAGCGAGCTATTGGCAAATTACAGGAAAATTTTAATGAAATGTGCCAAGCCATTAAAGATTTGTCTCTCCCTCCTGTTCAGCAAGCTGGCCCATCTTCTCAGCTACCCAGTTCATCTCGTCTCCCTGTGTCTGAGCCATGTCTCACACATCCCAAACTATTTGAAGGTGAGCCTGATCAATGCCATCCTTTTCTTACCCAAGTTGAAATTCAGTTTCAACTACAACCATCTTCTTTTCCATGTGAAAGATCCAAAATAGCCTATATCATTTCACTTCTCTTCAGCAAGGCTAAATTGTGGGGCACTGCCTAATGGCAACGAGATTCCCTGATTTGTTATACATTTAAGGTCTTTGCTGCTGAACTAACCCGTGTGTTTAGCCCTATTCTTCCTCATAAGGAGGCAACTCGAGGTCTGTTAAACATCACTCAAGGCAATAGACGAGTTCCTGATTACATTAATGATTTTCTCACCCTGGTGGTGGACAGTCAATGGAATGAGGAGGCGTTGCAAGATGTGTTTCTTCAGAGGCTCACATGATGGCCCCATTGATTTGTTGCCTGGTGCTATGCTTCCCAGGGGCAGACTTTACTCTCTGCCGGGTCCTGAGAATCAAGCCATGACTGATTACATTACTAAGTCACTTCAGAATGGTTTTATTCATCCCTCATCTTCTCCCGCTGGAGCAAGATTTTTCTTTGTTGGCAAAAAGGATGGTTCCTTCAGACCTTGCATTGACTACAGGGGGTTAAATATTACAATCAAGAATACATATCCTTTATCCCTCATGAATTCAGCATTTGACATTATTCAGGGAGCCACTATCTTTACTAAGCTTGATTTAAGAAATGCTTATCATCTAGTCTGTATCAGAGAGGGCGACGAATGGAAGACGACTTTCAAAACTCCCAGTGGTCATTACGAGTACGTTGTCATGCCTTTTGGCCTCACCAATGCCCTTACTGTTTTTCAAGCCCTGGTGAATGATGTTTTGAGGGATATGATTAATGTGTTTTTCTATCTAGATATCTTGATATTTTCCAAGGACCCTCTTAACCATCATTCACTGGGGCTGTACTGTTTTTTTTCTTTTAAGCCACTTCAGTAGAAAACAAAACTGAATGTAAGTTTCTTAATTTCTGCATCATCAGTGGCTTTTTTACACTATAGTAAAGCAGAAAAGGAAAAAGTAGAAGAGAAATACAAGAACTGAAAAGAGAGAAACCAATACAAATTATACAACATGTGAAATGAACACCAATAACACACAGGACACCACACCCRRCATCWGACCATCAGCAAATGAAGAGAACAAACACCCAGCAACCAAACTTAAACAGATGTATGTACATATACCCATACGCACATACATAAACATATATACACACGCACACATATACATATCCACACCTACGTACAATAATTATAAACTCAATAATTAATTTATACAAAACGCACACACCTATACACACAATCAGGCACTTACACATAAAAACATACATATATATTTACACACGTACAT